TTATCAAGACCTTTGACAATGATACATTTCCATGTATAAAAAATTTCATCTATTATTAAATAATATTATAAATTTATTTTTATCAATTCAAAAATTACTTTTCATCACCATTTACATAAATTTCACACGGTATAAATTAAGAAAAATACTTAATGACCTAAATTTATGTGACCTGAATGATTTAAATGTGTCAAAACGACGTCATTTTACATTTAAAATGATATCATTTTAAGATAGTTGAGTCAAAAAAAAAAAATCAAGTCACCCAACATTGTTGGTAAATTAATAAATACCGGTACGTCTGTTTCCCGACTTCCCCTTTATTATTTGGTAAAATATATTTTTTCATAAAAATGTGAGCTTCACCGACTTCCTCCACCACATACATCTCAGTGGAGTTTACAAACTATCAATAGATCTCACATCAAATCTCAGTCTTCATAGATACTACTATTCACACATACACACAAAGACAAAGAGAAAGAGCGAGAGAGATGTCAAGGCGATCTGGGGGTTGTTTGAGGTGTTGTTTGGTGGTTTTTGCAGTGATATCGGCTCTGTGTGTCTCTGGCCCTGCTCTTTATTGGAAATTCAAAAAGGGTTTGAAGCTTGGAGCCTCTTCTTCACCTTCTTGCTCTCCTTGCGTTTGTGATTGCCCTCCTCCTCTATCCCTTCTCAAGATTGCCCCTGGTACTACTGGGTTCTTGTTAATTCTTGTTTTTCTTTTATTTTTATGTTGTGTTGTTGAGTCAAATTGAAGGGTACCATTTCAAATCTCTTGATTCTTACTATTATTAATTAGATTCTGATTTATAAGGGAAACCCAATTCTGATTACTGTTGATTTGTTCTTTCTGGGTTCTTGTTAACTTCTGTTTTTCTTTGATTTTATGTTGTGTTGACTCAAATTGAAGGGTACCATTTCCAAATCTCTACTATTGTTGAATTCTGATTTATGAGGAAATCCCAATTCCGATTCTTGTTTATTCTTGTTTTTCTTTGATTTTATGTTGTTTTGTTGAGTCAAATTGATCAGTACCATTTCAAATCTATAAATTCTTTCCTATCATTAGATTCTGATTTATAAGGAAAATCCAATTCTGATCACTGTTGGCTTGTTTGTTGTTTAATTTTGATTTTGTATGTTCACATGTTGATTATAAGAAAATTAAGTGATTTGGGTTAAATCTGGATCATTGATTTTTTTTGTGAATTCATACCGAAGAAGAAATTGACTATTTATTTTTATTTTTTATTTTTTCTATGTGGTATATGTTATTGCTTTTGGGAGATTTTCTGTGATCTGCTTTGCTCTCCTCTCTGATCTTGTTCTTTTACTTCTTCCTTTAGCTATAGAAGCGTTTAGAAATTTCCCATACCCAGTTACACCTTTGGGAATTACTTATAAGATTATATCCAGTTTGAATTTTTATTTTTATTTTTTAAATAAAAATGTTAACATGCTGTATGTTTGATTTCATTTCAAACCATGTTTGAATCAGTAAGGTAACAATTTGTGCCAAAAATATGAACTTAGCAGTTTTAGAATTAGTTCGTTGATGAATTAAAGAATTAGATGCAGTTGGTTGTAACATGAAACAACTAAAAAGACCAACAATTTTTTATTTTTTATTTTATTTTTCATGAAAAACTAGATTTAGGCCTCGTTTGGGAACATGCTTTTTTAGTAACTTTTTGATTTTTTGGCTGAAATGTAATGTTGAAAAAACTAGTATGCCTCCGTTTGGGAAGTGGGTTGGCTTTTTGGCTTTTTGGTTTTTTTGAGTTTTTTTGTGAGAAAAGAATGTAATGATTATGGGTTGGATGTGATGTTTTGTTTGTTATGGCTAAAATAGCCTATTTTGTTTTTTGTGGCTAAAATAGCCAAAAAAGCCCAAACCATGGCTTCCCAAACGAAGCCTATGTTTGGGATGACTTTTTGGCTTTTTACGAAAAGATGTGCAAAAAGTAGAGAGAAAAGGTATCTTGACTTTTTGATATGGGTTGTTGGTTTTTTGGCTTTTTGAGTAAATTTTTGACTTTTTGGCTAAAAAAGTCACTTGCCAAACGAGGCCTAAGGTCTTTCCTTTTAAAACATGGGATTGCTTAATTTAAAGTTGAGAGATTCAAATACGTTCTATTTAATGGCCACAAAATAATTGAATTGGCTAATTTAATTGAAAATGAAATGATTTCACTTGCATAACCAAATTGGCAAGTTGCAGTTTTTTCCAAAAAACCTTTATCTTTAAGATCAAGGATTTGAGACGGGATTTTTGGAGGGAAAGGAAAAGGGAAGGGAAACAAATTGATTCAAACACAACCTAAGATTCTTGTTCATCATAATTGAGAAATGAACACACTTGTTATTTTTTTTCATATAAGCAAGTAGTTGATTAGTACTGTGGGGTAAAAAGAATTTCATAGAGAATAGACATGGTTTTATGTATGCTGCAAAACATCTTTCCCAGCTGTTTTTACTCAAATTGCAAGATCTCTCTCACTCTCATAAAGATACTCGAGCTTTTGTATAAAAAATTTTAATTTGTCCAGACTCTTTAAGATACAAAAGATTTTAACCACAAATTGAAAAGAAACTTAACAAACTTCAGAATCTCATTGCATTTTCATGCTTTTTTGGGTGGGTATTCGTTATTACTTCAGAAATCCATGTAATATTTTTGCCTAACAAGTGTACTTATTAATAAAGATCCATGTACATTCTTATTCTTGATGCATGTGATGTGATCTGGTGAAGTCCTCAATAAGCTTGCTGAGATATTTCCTCATAAATTTGCGTTGTCAATATTGATAGGATTGTTATTTGCAGTTTCTATGACTGAAATGATTAGGGAACAAACTCTTCTCACTCACTGCCTCTCTGGATTTGTGGATTTGTCACTGTGTGCTTCCGCCTTCAAATTTGCTTTTTCATTTGCTTAACCTTTCTCCGTTTGGATGTTTGTTTGTTAGAGTGGAAAATAAGATAATAAAATTCTACTTGTTTTATCTGAGTAATTAGTTCCTTTATTTTGTGCATGTTACCAATCATTCGTTTCTATTCAGTGGTATTATGGCATGTCATTTTGTTACATGGGGTATCTGAGAAACTAGTTTGGCTCTTGAGATTTATGGGGAGATTTGGAGCGTCCTCTGTTATTACTTTACATGTGCTTCCTGGTTTATGGCCTCTGTCAAAGTGCAATTAAATTAAAGTTCAATTTTGTGGTGAACTAAAGAGTTTGTTTGTACTAACTCTTACAAGTCTTACTCATTTATGGTTTCTTCTTTTTCAGGCTTGGCCAATCTTTCAATTACAGGTTAGACTTCACCTCACAAACTCAACATTATGACTTCACTTGTCATTCGTTACATTTGTTAACATCATCTTTACTTTTCAAAGTTCCAATCATTATGAAGTTTATTCTAAGACATTGAAAAGTGAATTGCTTATATTTTGTTCTTAAATCAAGAAGTATCCATTGGACTCTTGGGTTTCTTTGATTTTATATGTAGGTTTTGTTTATTTTTTATGTGCATATATGTGGCTGGAAGCTGTGTGCATGTTATGTTACTTTGTTATTTTCACACTTCAGAGTTTTTTTGGAGGGTTTTAAATTTGAATACACCATATGAGATTTTTTTTTTTTGTGTGTGTGTGGAAAGATTTTCATATTATTTTCACTTAAAAAGAAATTAGTATAAGCAATTATGGTCTTGTGAATCTGTAGACCATTTAAATTTGATTGATTGCTTCATGACTGTTTAATTTTATCAATGTAAGTCTGTAATTGTTGGTAATTGTGTGATAATCCATTTTGTATGTTGGTGATTTCTTCAACATATCTATAGCGAAGTATTGTATAAGGGTATTGCCTCTTTTTGTGTGGGGATACGACATAAGTGAGTGGTCATGATAGATTGAGCTCGCTTTTCTCCACTATGCTTTGGTAATTGGATATTATTTCAACTAGACAACTGTGGTATAACCAACATCTGTGTTACGTGGACTCTTCTATTTCCCCCATAGTACCTGTGTCCACTGGATATGACATGGGTAAGAGTGTGGAATATGTGTCTAATACTCGTACTCAATTTAGACACTCAGATCCTTTAATTTGTGACAATACCTGAAGAAGAAGAAACTCACATTTGTTAGTAAAGCAATAGTTTTAGCCTTTCACATGAATTAGATATAGAAATTTCATATTTTTCCTGAATCCTATTTAATTTTTAGTATGTTTTTACATAATTTACAACATCTCATCTGAGAATATTATATAATATGCAATATATATGTGCATATGACACGTCTCTGTACCCATATCCAATTTTATGAAGGTTTAACACTTGGATACACACCCGCACTTGATCCTCGTACCCCGAGTCCATGTAACATAGACCAACATCAGTTCACCAAAGACTCATTGGAAGATTTGATTATCATGCAGCTTCCCATTATATCAGTAGAAGTATGGTTTGAGTGGAAAGGGGAAGGAGAGTATATTAAGTTAATATCAAAACCTAATACTTGATCCATTCAACGGCAGTGGCATTGGCGTTGGTTTTTTCCCAAGTATGATTAATCCTGGTTAGTGATACCAAATATATGTAGTGAGAGATGAGAACAAAGCATAGAGTGAACGAGTTTGTTCGGTTTTTTTTTTTTTTTTGTTGCAAATAACACGGTAAAATTTTCAAAAGAAAAACAAATAATTTACAAAAACGATAAAAATAAAACCGAATTACATATTATAAGGAAAGTGGGATTTGGGGGAAGGCTACCTACCTACCACTTCTCCCAGAGATCCTACTTAAAGCAGGAGCCTTGTGAACCAGGAGAAGCAGCACGTTTTGGAAAAGGAAGAGATGGGGCTGGTTTTGGGGGTGTTGACTCTAATGATCGTATGGGTATAGGATGATATTCGGGAACAGAGTCTGGTGAAGATGAGATTGGGATTTCTCCGGTCTTTCGCTTTGAACAACAGAGTCTCATACTTGCAAAGAGAACTCGAACCCAGCAAGTATTTTACTGGTCTAGAGCAGGGAGGAGAGATAACTCGAACCCAGCAACGTTTTTCCAATCGTCGGCGTGTCCATCGAGAGTGACGAGTCCGGGGCTGAACTCAGCCGCAACTCGGGCCTCTGGGTCGGACTCGCAGCTCCAATCGCCGGACTCTTTGGGCGAGTCCACAAGCGTTGACCCAGAAACCAGAACCAAGACTAGCAAGAGAAGAAGCAGAAACCAGAAACAAGACTAGCAAGAGAAGAAGACGAAGCATTTTGATTGGAGTTTGAGACAATCGTCAATGAAAGTGGCTTGTGTTGTGTGGTGGCCTATACCAGATCCACCATTCCAGATCACGAGTACAAAGGTGGAAAAATGATTGTAAAGGCGTTGCACGATGGGAAAGATGTTTACTTCATGTTGCAAATTGATGGTATGTTTTGAAAAACTCCAGCGGGCAGCGAAGGCAAGGTTGCCGGCCGGCTGCCCGCCGGAAAAAAAAAGAGTATAGGCCTAAATCTTATGGCTCTGATACCATGTAAAATAAATTGAGATGTATATTATTGATTGATGTTGATCTGATACATTGATGTGTAAATTACAGATGGTGAGGTACTAATTATATAGGAGAGGATTGGGGAGTAGGTGAGTGTGTGTGGTAGGTGAGGTGAGTGTGTGTGGTAGGTGAGTTGAGTGGAGGTGGTAGGTGATGATATATTTTAACATATTTCAACTAGACAACTGTGGTATAACCAACATCTGTGTTACGTGGACTCTTCTATTTCCCCTATAGTACCTGTGTCCACTGGATATGACATGGGTAAGAGTGTAGAATATGTGTCTGATACTCGTACTCAATTTAGACACTCAGATCCTTTAATTTGTGACAATACCTGAAGAAGAAGAAACTCACATTTGTTAGTAAAGCAATATTTTTAGCCTTTCACATGAATTAGATATAGAAATTTCATATTTTTCCTGAATCCTATTTAATTTTTAGTATGTTTTTACATAATTTACAACATCTCATCTGAGAATATTATATAATATGCAATATATATGTGCATATGACACGTCTCTGTACCCATATCCAATTTTATGAAGGTTTAACACTTGGATACACACCCGCACTTGATCCTCGTACCCCGAGTCCATGTAACATAGACCAACATCAGTTCACCAAAGACTCATTGGAAGATTTGATTATCATGCAGCTTCCCATTATATCAGTAGAAGTATGGTTTGAGTGGAAAGGGGAAGGAGAGTATATTAAGTTAATATCAAAACCTAATACTTGATCCATTCAACGGCAGTGGCATTGGCGTTGGTTTTTTCCCAAGTATGATTAATCCTGGTTAGTGATACCAAATATATGTAGTGAGAGATGAGAACAAAGCATAGAGTGAACGAGTTTGTTCGGTTTTTTTTTTTTTTTTGTTGCAAATAACACGGTAAAATTTTCAAAAGAAAAACAAATAATTTACAAAAACGATAAAAATAAAACCGAATTACATATTATAAGGAAAGTGGGATTTGGGGGAAGGCTACCTACCTACCACTTCTCCCAGAGATCCTACTTAAAGCAGGAGCCTTGTGAACCAGGTACAAATCTTTTTTTCGATAACTTAGTATCCTGCCCTAAGGACTGACTAATTTGCAGACCAATCCCACCGTCCACTAGCGGGGGAGCCAACTAAAGCCGTGGGCAAAGTCTCATATGGAATGGCCTCAAGAAATTGTTTGAGGCTTAGGAGGTTTTGAACCTGAGACCATGGAAGGGTAAATTAAATAATACACACATACAACTTGGTGATTCCCAGGCCCAGGAGGTTTTGAACCCAGGCCCCAGGTCCCAGTCCTTGACCACCATACTTTGTTGTGTTGTCATAAATTCCTCTTATTTTAGTTAGGGGTGCAACTCGGGCGGGCTCAACCCGAGCAACCCGAGCCCAGCCCGAGTTTTTTTAGGGCTTGGGCAACTATATCTTGTAATCTGGACGGGCTTGGGCAGATTTTTGATGCCCGAATTGCAACTCGGGCCGGGCTTGGGCAGAACCAATGGCCAACCCGAGCAACCCGAACCCGAATTCAATTTAATATATTATATAAATTATATAATATATAATATATAATATATATATAATTTAATAAATTATATAATATATATAAATTAAGTAAAAGAGTTAGTCTTAATTTTTATTTATTTATTTATTTTTTGGTTAGTCTCCTATTAAGTAAAAGAGTTAGTCTTAATTTTTATTTTTTATTTATTTTTGGTTAGTTTTCTACCATTAGATTATCTTTTATGTCTACCCTTAGATCTACCTACAGGTTTCTGAACTCGGGCAATTCGGGCAATTCGGGCAACCCGAGTTCAAAATACAAAACTCGGGCCGGGCTTGGGCAACAATGTTCGGGTTCATGGTCGGGCTTGGGCGGGCTTGGGCAGTGCCAAATACAATTCGGGTCGGGCTTGGGCAGACCCCCAACCCGACCGAACCCGCCCGAGTTGCACCCCTAATTTTAGTTGTTAATTTAAACCTGCACTACTCGTGGAATTATGGGCAACTTGGTGATTCAATCAAGCAGTACACACGTACAACAACATCCCACACTACCCGCCTTCTTAGCTGTCCAATTAATTTCAGTTTTCACCAATACTCTAAAAACTATCATTCTCTCCATTCATCCTTTACCCACGTTCCTTATACCCTATTTGTTCTAGAGAATTTTTACTCCTGCAACACACCGCGTCCACACCTCTTTCTCCCTCCCTCATTCTTATCTCAAGAGGTTTCATCACATGCATGCACGTGGCACCGTTTCTAGTTGTATTACAATGGAAGACTTGCCTGGGGAATCTAAATGTAATTATAAAAATGTCATACCTAGTGCACAAGGCTCTTGCTTATAGTCTAGAAGAGGTAGTTTGTAGCTAGCCTTCCTATCACTTGTTAAAAAATTAGAAGAATTTTTTTTCTTTGTAGTAGGATGATGGAATCAAATTTTGGTTCCTTTGAAGAATTCACACAAGAAAACTTCACAATGTTCTTGATATGAGGGGTTTGAATGATGTAAAAGAAAACTTGCAAGCGGCAAGTGAGATCATAGAATTAAAAGTGACTCTGACTGAAGTACACGTCGATATAGAGGAAAAAAGACACTGACAAATTCTTAATGGGGTACATGATAAGGAATGTGGATCATAATGTATGTTGGATTCCTTAATCTTGAAGTTGAAACTAGTGCTTTTTCAGAGCTAAGTATCTCTCAAGAAGTCCTTCACATTATGTTAAAATGTACTGGTGGCTTTTAATCCTTATGTGCCATATGATTGTCAAAATGCAATTGATGATTTTGATGGTTGGAATTTTTAACAGAGTATATTTATTTAAATTCTTATTTGAGACAAGAGTATATGATAGAGACATTTGGAAGATCATCTGTTCTTAAAATGCTGCTTTTCATTTTGTGCTTTCTATGCTCACATTTGCACATTTTTTATGAAATAATGTATAACTTCTCAGTGATGTATTGTTTCATCAAGATCCAATCCAAATGACGATGTCATCTTGTTGTTCCTGAATAGGCCTCTTCAATCTTTTTAGGTTTATGATCTACGCCGGGTAAATAAAGATATGCCTAAGTTTGATTATGTAAATGATGATGCTTTTTGTGATGGAAACAGACTGTGGAGGAGATGATCCAGAACTGAAAGACGAGATGGGAAAGCAGTTTGTGGATCTGTTGACGGAGGAGATGAAACTGCAGGAGACAGTAGGGGAAGAGCATGCCCACCATATGAACATTACCTTTGGAGAAGCCAGAAGAGTAGCTTCCCAGTACCAGAGGGAGGCTGAGAAATGCAACGCTGCCACGGAGACTTGTGAGCAGGCCAGAGAACGTTCTGAGGCATTGTTGATCAAGGAAAGGAAAGTTACTTCCTTGTGGGAGCGACGAGCCCGCCAATTGGGTTGGGAAGGAGAGTAAGAGTTGCAACTTTAAATTATTGTTTCTATTATACTTTCTGTGCTTAGCAAATTAGCAGCAAGTACATTTGCTCCAAGCTTGTCATCTTGTCTTGTTAAAACAGATACATGTTCTCTCTCTCTCTCTCTCTCTCTCTCTCTCTCTCTCTGTATTCCTTTTTGTGGGCACAAATGGCTTACATCAATTAATCTCCATTTATAGCATATGCACACGTCGGTTATTTCACTTGCCATCATTTGAGCTTTTAATAGAACCTATTTCTCTTTGTTTGGGAAGAATAACATTGTGCAAGCACTTGGCCTCGTTTGGAGATTGAGGGTGTGTTTGATTTGTGATTTAAGATAAATTTTCAAAAAAAAATTTGGGGAGAGTTTAGAAATTTTTTTGGTTTGTTGGGTTGTATATTTTGAAAATAATTTTAGAGTTTGAGAGTTTGGGATGATTTGATATTTTGTTGTAATTGAGTAGATGTGTGAGAAAAAAAAAATGATTAAGAATGAGAGAAGAGAGAGAAAAAGTGATTCATTGATGTATATGTGAGAAAAAGTGATTTTGAAATATTTGTTCAAAAAATTTGAATTAAACAAAATTTTAAAAAAAATTCTCAGAAACTGTATCTTGAGATATAAACCAAATAAGTTTTAAATATTTTAGTTAAAAAGTTATTATAAATTGTTATATTATTTTTTTTTTTTGTATATTTTTTTGTAAAATATTAAAATTACTAAAATCACATGTGTTTTTTAACGAAGTCTTTTGACATGAGAAAAGGAAAAAGAAATGATTGGATTTTTTTTCATTTATCTTCGGTGAGTAAGAAAAGATAATATGTGCAATTTTGATATAATGGAGGTGTGTTTTTTTTTTTTTTTTTTTTTTTTTTTTAACAAAACAGGTACGTAAAATTACTCTATCTCACTGTCTCAAAATATTCATTATCATCGAATCATATGAGAATGTTAATGTCGAATAATCTTAATATTGTAAAAAAATGCACAACCAATCTCGATATTATAACTTTAAAATGTTCAATTTTGTATTAAACTTGTCAGGTCTAGGGGTGCAATTTGGGTAAGTTAGGGGTGCAATTTGGGTAAGTTTAACCCGAGTAATTCGAGTTTAGTTTGAATTTTTTTAAGGTTTGGATAAAATATTTTTAAATTCAATACGGGTTTGGATAAAAATTCAGAAGTCTAAATTAAATTTGGATGGGCTTGGACAAAGACGTCAAACAACCCGAATAACCCGAAACCCGAATTATATATATATAGATATATAAAAATATTAAATATACATATAAATTATTAACCATTACATAATATTAAAGTAATTTATACTATTAAATCATATTAAATATATATTATATATACAAATAACATAATTTTTATTTTTTTTATTTTCACTCATAAATTGTAAGGACTACTATAGTGACATCTCTCTGTTAACGTGTGTGCTAGTACTATGTGTTAGTGTCAGATGTTAATATGTGTGTTAACTGCAGCAAACATTTTAGCCAATGAAAGAGAAAGCGAATGTGCTTGGGGACATCCCCCGAACATTCGACCAGAAGTCCTCCTGGACGTCCGGTTCCGAATCGTTCAAGAAAAGGGAAAAAAAAAAAAATTGGTCTTACCGGTTGACCGGTCAATGGCAATATTTTTTTTTAATTACTTGTTGGGATTTTTTTTGGGGCTTGAAATTTAATTTTGAGCTTGAAATTTTTTATTAAACTAAATTATTTATTTATTTTATTTATTATATACACACATATATATATTTTTAACACGCACCTTAACACATCCATTGTATCACCATTTATTCACTATTTACTCACTAAATTAACAAACTCTTAACACATCTTTTTGGGTTATACTTTCAACATTTTTTGTCATATAACACACTTTAACACATAATTTTAACACATCCATTGTGGATGCCCTAAGAGGTGTATATAATTGTAACTTTGTATTTATATTTAAGATTTTTGATAAGTCTTTAGACTTGTTTGTCATAATCTAAAAAAGTTAAAAAGTCACTATTATATTTAAGTCACATCATCTTATTTAAGTCACATCACTTCTCTACCACATCACATCAAACCCAACTCATATTTTATAAAAAGTCAAAAAGTACACTTATTTAGAACATCTCAAACAACCCCTTTAACACATCCATTGTGGATGCCCTAAGAGGTGTATATAATTGTAACTTTGTATTTATATTTAAGATTTTTGATAAGTCTTTAGGCTTGTTTGTCATAATCTAAAAAAGTTAAAAAGTCACTATCATATTTAAGTCATATCATCTTATTTAAGTCACATCACTTCTGTACCACATCACATCAAACCCACCCTATATTTCATAAAAAGTCAAAAAGTACACTTATTTAGAACATCTCAAACAACCCCTTAAAGGGTTGGGTTTTTATGAAATAAGTGTACTTTTTGACTTTTTATGAAATATGGGTTGGGTTTGATGTGATGTGGTAGAGAAGTGATGTGACTTAAATAAGATGATGTGACTTAAATAGGATAGTGACTTTTTGACTTTTTTTTAAAATGCCAAACTTAATCTTATTTTTGTAAAATAATTGTATAAGCCTATAACTAAGCTTGTAGACTTTTGTACAAAGTTATACGAAGTTTGGATGTATTGATTTTGTTAAGTCCAATAAATTAGATAAGCATTAGTCTAAGATAGCTTTTTGGTTTTATTTGTTTATGAAGATATATTTTATAAATTAACATTCAAACCAACGAAGAAATCAATGTAAATTTCTACGATCTCTTCTTTGTCGAACTTTTCTTTAACTCCATAAAATATGTAGAATCAAAATATTAGAAAGCTCATTTTCTTTTTTATTTTGTAATTGGTATCAAAGTTTGGTGAATAATTTTTGAAAGTAAGATCATGTTTTGTAAGTATTTTTATCTATTAATTTTAATATATATATATATATATATATATAAGTGTGTATGGTGTGTTTAATTATTTAAAAAAAATGTTTAAAATTAGAAAAAAATATTATTAGTCAAGTTTAGTCTTAAATTGTGTATCTTTTGTATTTTATATCTTCATAATTATTTGTTTCATTTATAGTTGTAAAACATATATGCTTAGTGTATGTCAAAACCCATATACTCATTAAGATCTTTCGACTATTGGCCATAATTAGGCATTTTTAAGTCTTTAAGATCATAAAGAGAGGTTTTAGGCAACAGATAAATACACTAGGAAGATCTTTGATACCAACAACAATCTATAATGACAATTAACCTTGAAGTTATAATATGCTTTGAACATACAAAAAATAATGTTAATAATAAATATGATCGTAGTTTACATATCACTGAAGAGTTTGCAAATATAAGTAGTGTGTGTTCTACTTTAAATAATATTACTGATATTATGTGCTCTTGATTTTTTAAAAAAGATAAAAATTAAAAATAAATCAAAATTATTTAGAATCCAAAGTTGAGTATATAAAATAGACAATTTAGGTTCTATAATAAATATTGACTCAAACAAATAAGCAAAAACCCAAATAAACAATTTGGTAACTCAATTATAAACTCTATCCTTCATAAACAATGATGGAATGAATAGTCTAGGAGATAACTCTATTCCTAGGCCATTTTATGGTACATAAGATATTCTGGTACTTCAAACCAATACCTATAATAGGACTTACTATGAAAATATTGTTGAAATATTATATTATTGGAGAAAATTATATAAAGACCCAGATTTAGGTATTGATGAAAGAAATATGATAGTAGATTAGACAAGAGAAACTTATCTGAAATATGAAACCTTTTTACAATACTTTAATTATGGTATTAATATGTCAACTAATGATGATGATGATAGTCAATTATCCTCATTTAAAGAAACAATAAATCAAGACGTTTCACCACAAATAAGTAAGGGGAAAAGAAAGGCAGAAGAGCTGATTAATCTCGAATTGTTTGACACATGAAGAGATGGAGAAAATTTTAACTTTATTCAAACAAATGAAATTAAAGATGATACAAACACTGGAAGCACCTCTAATCTTATACCTGAACCAATAATATCTAGAAAAGAAAACAATTATAAAGGGTTGTTTGGGGTGTCCTAAAAAAGTACACTTTTTGTCTTTTTGGACTAAAAAATTGAGGAAAAAAATATGAATGTTTGGGTTAACTTTTTAACTTTCTATGAAAAAATTTGTATTAAAAAATTGTATAAATTAGTGTGTAGGGGAAAATTAGGATTGAGAGTTGTGCAGCCGTAATTTTTGAATTTTGGTGAATAGTGATAACTTTTTGACTTTTTGAGTAATTTTTTGACTTTTTGACTTTTTTTGATCTTGCCAAACTTGGTCTAAGTATCTAATAACTCAAAATAATACTTATTTAGACTCGTCTTATGTCCCATTTAAGAATCAGCTCAAAATAGAGAATTTTGTTATATGGAAATTTTGTCGCAGGGAAGGGGGGGGGGAAAAAAAACTAATGCAGAAAAGAAGAACAAATAATAAGATTGAACCACAGACAAATTTGAATTAGATATACTCTCTAAAATGGAATAATATTGAGAAAATTTTCAATTTTTATCAATCAAATATAAACTTAAACCCTAAGCCTTGCATCTTTATTTATAGTAAAACAATTATTGCTAATCAAGAAAATCTAAAAAGAAAAATATATGTTCTTGCTAATTAAGAAATTTAAAAAGAAAAATATTAAATCTTGTCAAACAAAAAAATAAACCAAAATAGACAACCTAAATAAATAAGAAACTAAATATTTTAATCTTAAATAATAATTAAATACTAGAATAATAAAATAAAATATGTAATTTTTAAATTTTGATCTGCATCAAAAAATGTTGCGATGTTGTGGACTTTGTTGGTGATGCATGGTGGGTGGAGATATAAAAAATAGAGTTAATTACTTAAAAGTCTTATTTATAAATGTTATGATAGTTCAGGTCCTATCTAAGATTTTTTGAATCAATAAGTCATTATTCTCCGTCATAGACACAAAATTTTTAATTTTGCATGAAAAAATAATTTAGTTTTTTCAAAAATTTCAAGAAAACACATTAGTTATTTATTTATTTTTTTTTTTTTGCACATAATTTTTTTAATTTTTTTTTAATTTGAAAGTTGATATTTTAAAGTTTTAAAAATTAAAATAAATATCAAATCATAATGTTCCTTATTAAAAATTTAATGAGACTTGAAGATCCAAAAAATATTAATTAAACCTTAATGAAATATAAATTCATAAATTAAAATTTGTGTATGAATATTTCTAAAAAAATATAAACAGAGAAGATTAGAAGTAATAAGAGATTATTTTTGTCATTTTAAATTTTCCGATGCAGCTACTCATTTTCACAGTTTGGCATAAACCCCAAGGGGGTTGAGTGTCACAAATAGAACTTAAAGGGGGCTCTCCATGTTTTAAATCATGTTACACTTTCACAAATTGATGATTGAGCTTTTAATGAGATCACAGCATTGTACTGCAAACTAACAATATGTATATATAATACCACCATCAGATCTTAGATAAACCACAGGACTAATTACAGGCACTATCAAATCAGTGGAAATTCATCTTCACTTTGAAATCAGAAAACTTTTCAGAATAACACCTTTTTTTTTGGAAAAATCAAATAACTGTTAAGACAAGTGTTCTTCCCACATTTTTGTAGTGTGATAACCAAAGTTGTGTCCATTTTTTGCTAGACTTGGTAAAATCGTAATTAAAAACACAAAAGAGAGAGTGGCAGACCCATTGGGAAGCAGCAGCAACTACATGAGATTTCAAGTGAAATATGCTTTGTCAAATGCCAGTTCATGAAACTTGAATTCATGTTTATCCAAAGGGTTCTAAACTAAAACAGCATAAAATCCTCCAGCTGTAGAGAAATTCTCATACCACTGATCCATGACAAAAGGAAAAAATGGCTCCGAGAGAGAATGAAGGAACTACGATGAAAAACAAACATGGCATCAGTAATTGCAACCATGAAATAAAAACTTCGGTCCAAGGGATTGAAGAGTGTACACAAAAAGAAAAGAAAAGAAGAGAAAAAAGGAGGAAGAAATTACATTATGATACAAACTCCTCAGTAAGTAGACGACTTGTGTTGTTACGGCTCTCCCTCTTCTCTAGGAATCTCAACAGTGAACAAGAGTCTCATAAACACGATCCAAAAGAGTAAGCGTCAAATCCAAATTCTCCATCCATTAACCCAGTTCCATTTTGTTCCTGTATGGAATAGACCAAAAAACAACTCAAAACACTCGTGACGAAATGGTGGGTTTTTCTTTTTCAGAATGATATTATAAGGAGATACACCGCAGCATGCCAGCTGAATTACAAACCTAAAAACAATCTCTTTTCGTAGGAGCAAAAGCATCGCATATCTTACATATAAAATGAACAAGGAGATGTGTTGCTATGCTAGCTGAAACATATAAATTGAGAATATGTGTCTTAGCAAACATACAATTATTTCATGAAAAAGTAAAAGCTATTGCAAAAGGAGTACTTGTCATGAAAATAGGTTTACAAATATCTTTCAAATAGCCCCTAAAGAAGCTGCAACAATATAGCTAACCTTTATAATTTCGAGTTCTACTCCACCAAGCAAGGACCTTAAGGTAGTGTTTGGTTCATTGGCATGAAGATGGAAATGGAATAGTCATTCCTTAACCTCCCTATGGAATGAATGACTATTCACATACAATGGTGAACAATGATTCCATTTACTACAATTTCTATCATTTTTTTAGTGAACCAAACGTGAGAATAGATATTTTGATGGAATAATCATTTCATTCCATCTTCATTCCAATGAATCAAATACTACCTAAAAGTTCTGAAGTGTAGAAAACTCCTTTCTGCTCTTCAAACTTGAATTTGTGATTATTTACAAGAAATAAAATAATGTAAAGATGGTAAAGTAATTGTCACTGCACTTCACTGTTTCACTGACCTCACACAGTACCTAGAATGGTTGTCACTCAAGTTTTAAGGGTTTGTTTTTTACTATGACTTTTAATAGTTTCTTATTTTTACTTTTTACATATAAGACCCAACAATGACAATGAGAATACATCTTTGAGCAACTCCAACAGTACTCTTCATTGTACAAAAAATGAACACTCTTTATTTTACCTAACTACTTTTTCATCTATGTGCTCAAACACTACTCTTTATTTTTCCTATCTATCCACACAAACTGTTTAAAGAGCCTCCCAATCTCTCCAAAGGTAGCTAGCCTGGAAGAGTTATGTTAAAATAGCTATTACAGTAGCTATATTTTTGGATAGTAAAATGGGGCGAGGCTAGCTACAACAACTAATGGGCCTCTTTTAAAGAGCCTGTTGGAGATACAAAGGAAGCCAAAAAATATAATAAACAGATCAGCATTATCAACAACAATATGAACTTGTAAAGATCTTTGAAAGCAAAGATTTCCATTGCCTCATTTGAACATGACAAAAAGGAAAGAAATTCTCTCTCAGTTGCCCCCAACGGATCTCTTGTGGTCAAGCAAGAAGTAACTACAATGGTTCTGTAAATTTTGGCCTATCTGGATTGCTACACCATATCACAATTTTAAGCATGGTTCATGTGGGATTATTAACATGGATTGAACATTAGGTTCCCATACTCCATTACTCATTCTTTTAGGAGAATCAACATTTTCCAATTGCCTATAGGGGGTTTTGTGCACTTCTCATTGGTTGATTGAATTTGTCTGTCCATAAATATTATTTAGCTCAAGTTCCACCAACAATTCAGAATCCTGTACTTCATGGCTCATTGAATCTAACATTGGAGATTCCTTTTAAAATTATTCTTTAGAAGAAAAATATATAAATAATATCATATGAAGCCTGGATAGAAAAAGATAGAAATATGATCTTACCCGCTTGATCATTGCATTCATTAGATCATCCAAGGAGTCATAACCATTATGAACAAAGCCTCCATGTGACTTCGTTTGCTCCAAAATATAGTCTTCATTGGACCTCATTTTTGTGTCCATAGCTGATTTCTCGATCTCACTGAACTGCGGGAAAGTTGAAGCCCTGCTATTTGATTGGCTGACTGAGGATGCATCGATCTTTCTATTGCAGAATCCATTATTTTGATCCAAACTCTGGCTTAATGGGCCCATAACACCATTGGCAGGAATGATAGAGTTCCAAGTGCTGAAAACATTATTTGGGTTTTGGGTATAATCCTGTTTATGTTCTCCCCACCTCTGGCCAATTGCTTGATTCCTATGTTGAACAACATAACCAGCCAAGCCTGCTTGTTGGCACTGAATCTCTCCTCTTGAATCCTCTACGAGTGCTGAAATTGAGTTGGTAGAAGAAAAATCGCTCTGAATACAAGGGGTAATTGAAGAATTATTGTTTCTCATGTTATTAGGAGGGAGTTGATTATGATTGAAAGGTTCACTCAGTGGCAAACCATTAGATGAAAATTTCGATAGGTGAATCGTGCTCTGCCAATTCTCATTACGTCTACCATTGTCAAGAAAATTAGAAACACTGAGGCCAGCATCAAAAGGTTCTGAATTCAAAGAATTCACTTTCAAAGCAGATTGATTACTAAATACTCCCCCACCTTGTGTTTGCTGTGGATTCCCATGTAGAATCAAAGGATTGCTCGAGGCACCAGGGAGAGAGTTTCTTGAGCTACCAACTGAAACTCTATTATCTGATAAGGTCCCGGCAGAAGTAAAAAATGTTGCATCATCGCCAGAATTGAACTCTGTAATGTGGGAAGAAGTGCACTTACTTTGTTGCAATTGGTCAAGTTCCAGTGGTGTCGAAATCCCTTGAAATAAACTGGAATTTTGATTTGCTGCTGAAACAACTGGTTGGAGCTTCCCAAGGATAGCAATGGAGTTGCCCAAGTTTTGGGTATGACTTGGTTGGATTAGTGAGGAAGGAGAAAGGCTCCGGAGGCTCATACCAGAAGGGCTATTCAATCTACCAAGCATTCCACCTGTTTGATATGATGATAAGGCGGGATTTGAAAGCCTCCCTGATCCAGACAATGTTCGATAATCTCCAAGTCCATCTAGTAAACTCATGCGCATATAAGAAGAATCTTTTCCCCCTAATGCAGCGACTATGTTTGCTTGCTGGGTTGCCACAGAACTGATCCGTTTCAGGTAAAGCCTATATTTCTGCAACACACAACTCGAGAGAGTAAGCTCGTTGGTACCAATTATGAAAACATACTCTAACTGTTAATTGAAGTACCAAAATATTTTTTGACTTTTTAATAAGAGCTTCTATGGTGTATGCTACTGAGCTCAACTAACTCATGCGCCATTAAAAATCAACAACTATTCAGGTTGTATATGCTTACATGGCTTACAACTTTTGCATGCATTTCAACCTAAATCCCCATGGCCTGAGATTTGGGTTTCAGGGAGGTCCAATTTGTAGACATACCATATTTTCTCGTCAGACCACCTTGTTAAACCATTTTTTCTTCTTACTTGAGAAGTATAGTTTCATATTCCACATTACAATGACATAATTAAAGAAGAAAAAAATACTTCTTTCATTTTTTATTTATTTTTTCGAATTACTTTCAAAATGCTTGCTAAAATGTTTACATTAGCAATTTACTAATATTCACTAAATTTACAGTCTATTTCCAGATTCCAAATTACTAGTCAGACCAATTAATCCCTAAATTCAAAGTTTTTCAGTACGAAGACATGATCTATTAAAGGAACACTAAAAGAAAAGGAAAAAGGAAAGTTCTGTTCCTGGAGATGGCTCGCCACATTTTCCCTAGTAATCCCTTCAACATTCATCAAATCAAGAATCCTTTTAGGAACAGCTTCTGCATTACAAAGTGGAGATACAGGAATCAGTCATGACAATAGCTGTATATGAAATCCAAAGACAATCATTGCACTGTAAGGACTCACTTTCAATGCCCAATTGATTAACTGCTGCAACAAACTTCCTGTGGAGCTCTATGGACCAAACAACCCGAGGCTTCTTCTGAGATGATGGGTCATCGCTGTCATTCTCATTTTCTTCACCTTCCTCTTCCTCATCCTTTCTCTTTCTATTGAGCTTCCCATTCTGATCTGAATTACCAGTGGTTGTGGGCCCTCCTTGTCCACCTTCTCCATTTCCTTGGTGAGCCATGTCTTGAGTGGATGACTTGTTTTGGTTCTTGGATTCGAACTTCTTCCTCCTGATTACATGTTGCCATATGTTCCTGAGCTCCTCAATTCGAACAGGTTTCACCAAATAGTCACAAGCACCATGGGTAATCCCCTTCATCACAAGTTTGGGATCACTATTTGCCGACAACACTTTGGCATCAAACAAAGTTAAAAATCAATCCCAGTATTATTGTGAATTAATTGATAGGAAATATACAATTTCCAATAAAAAATCAAACACAAAGGATATGGTATCTGAAAGATCAGAGAAGGGATTCTGGCTTACTAATGACGGGCAGGTCCATTTCAAGGCCAACAAGCTCCAGGAGCTTGAACCCATCCATATCCGGCATATGCACATCACTGATAACCAGATCAAATCTGTTTTTGTTTTCCCTCAACATTTTCAACGCCATTTTTGCCTGATTGGTTGTTGTAACTGTGAAACCCACAAATGATTTTCAGAATAAAGGATAGAATCAATTGCTTGAGAACAAAACCCACAATCATAATGAAAGAAGATTGACTCAAGGTAACCCTAGAAGCCCAGAACCAAACACATGGCAATCTAAACAGGAACAGCAAAAAATAAGTCTACTATCCTAACATTTTAATGGGAAAAACATTTAAAAAACCTACATCTGATTGAGTTAACACGAGCTGGAAAAGGAGATTGAGAGAATGGGTGAACAAAATAAAATCACAAAAAACTTGAGATTATTATTGAAAACACCTACCTGTTACTGTTGATTCATAAATACATAAGTTAGTGAATCAACAAGCATTCTGAACTAGAATTTGAGACCATGCAAGGACACAAAGTTAGAACACATATCTCAGATGAAGGTCAATCATTGAACACCCATTTCTCACACAATTTATCATACACTCAAAACCCACAAATACATAGATCCAATATGACCGATTCAATACAAACTGAGAACATGTATAAACAGAAGTAAATCACAAAACCCTTAAATAGGGGAATATAACAGACATTTGAACTGTGTGAACAAAATCCAATCACAGAATTCTGGAATTAAGGCACACAATCAGACCCCAACTTTTCAAAACCTAAAGAATTTCAGAAAAAGTACAAAAATGCAAACACAGTGAGTCAAAAGAAATTCATTGACAAGATATTGTCACCATATAACTCAAATCAACAAAACCATTACAAAATGATGAAACTGAACCAAATTTAAGAACCAAACAACAGAACTTCCATCAAACTTCAACCCCAAAAACAAAAACAAAAACAAAAACAAATTGGGTCAAAATTTGAACAAAGCTCAATCACAAAAAAGAATCATTTCTGATCAATGGAACAAAGTCTCACAAGAAAACAAAGAAATAAGCATAAAAGATGAGAATCAAACCGTGGTACTGGCATTTTCGAAGCAGACCATCCAATAGCCTCAAACAAGTTAAATCATCATCAACGGCAAGAACACGCATACCCACAGGAAATTTATCACTCTCATCCCTTAAATGTCCTCTAATTTCCTCTATAGTCATTTTGAATAAATAATTTTCAAAACCCAGATGAGAACAGAGCGCAAAGAAAGAGATCACAGAACAAAAGTTTGAGATTTGAGCATTGAATTGAAAACTGTGTTGTTTTGGAACTTTTCCACCAAACCCAGAAGACTCAGAAGACAAAGACAGCCAATGATAGGAGGATTTGTGAGGGGTATCAATGATAGAGAGTGGGTAGAGAGAGAGAAAGAGAGACTGGTTTTAGTGAGTAAAGCTGTACATGTTGACAATGATGGTGATGGCCAGAACAGTGTGAATGGCTTCAACCCAACAAGACACCAAATCATATATTTTAGTAATCACATCCCTATATTTTAGTAATCACATCCCTCTCTCTCTCTCTCTCTCTCTCTCTCTCTGTATTTGTCTCTCGCTTTTTCTTCTTCTTCTTTACAGAATAGAATACAATAGAATAGAAAAACCTTTTTTTTTTCAATATTATATAATCATTTGTCATAGATATGTATATACATCCATAAATTGCCATGAATAATGGAGCTTGGACTTGTTTTGGCCTTGTTTGAGAAATTATTAAAATCTAATTTTTCCTTTTAATTTTTTTTTTTAAATTATATCACTTCTTTATATTTTTATAAATTTTTTTAAAAAATTAAAAAATTAATTTTTAAACATTTCTCAAAATAAATATACCTGTTACTTTTTACTCCCCCCACCCCTCTCTCTCTCTAGAGGGGCATGCATACTTGGAAGTGGATTGGAAGACCTTTTAGATATGCTAGTGTGTGTCTAGTGTCCACCATAACTTTAATAACCATTGCTTTTTTTGTCTTTTTTTTACAAAAAAAATTAAGTGAGCAATATTTTTTAAAAAATAATGACAAATTAATAATAAATTTTATAAATATTAATAATTAAATCCTTAAATTGTTTTATAAATCTGAATTTTTTTAAAAATTTCACTGAATTGTATTTTTTTTATATATCATAATAGGACTAAACTAACACCAATAATAAAAGCAATCCTGACCACAAAAGCACCCATCCAAGTTGTTGATCAAAAAGATCAATGATCCAATGGTTCTTATAGTGGTGAAGTATATGCTGTGATGGCCCACCAAGTTTTCAATCACGTGTTCATTGGTTTCATGACCCTTGTATGAATGAGCCTCGTTTTTGGGGTTCATGATATGCCCTTGTGTTAAATGGACAACATGGTTGAGAAAGGTAGTTTAGCAAGGGTATTATGGTCAAATTGTAGTACATACTACATTTGTAATAGGAATTTTTAATAAATCACAAACACACTGAAGTTTGTTAAAAATACGTTACTCTCTCCGTCTCAAAATATTAATCTCTTATTTTATTTTTTATTGTCTCAAAATATTAGTCTCTCTTCAAAAATTAAGTACAAAAATAATATAAATTTTCCATTTTACCCTTCTTTTAAATTAATAAATAATATAAAAAGTACAATTATAACATTGATATTCTCAAAAAATATACTATTAAAAGGATAATTTTGAAAAATCAACTTTTTTCAAATATAATAATTGTACTTCTAAAAAAAGTTAGATTTCCCAAAATGGACCATTATTTTGGGACGGAGAAAGTATATATTTTGTTAATTTGACTTAATAATTGATTAATAAAAAGTTAAGATGTAACTTTCAAATATAAGAGGAAAATCTGTACTTTTAATAAATATATTTATAACTTACCCAAAAATAAATCTATTAATGATTCTAGGCTTTAAATGTTAATGATGTGGAAAATTTCCTTTTGTAGGAAGTCATTTACAGCCTCCATCAAACAATTCCTTTCTTTGTTTGAGGCCCATTTCGGAGAAATTAACTTAGAGGTGGTGAAAAGACAAACTTACCCTTTATTCAAAATTATGGTAATTTATGTGGGACATTCATTTGGGATTCTATATTGTTTTTTTATTTTTTAAATAAATGACAATGTATACAAAAATAATGATCTTTTTAATGTCTTTTCTTAACTAAATTCGCAGTTGACAAAGCTCCAACTTCTATTCAGGAGAGAATATTTAACCGTTCAGTTTGATTCTTGTAAATTTTACTATAACACCAACTCATTTTGATGATTAAATAAATAAATATATTTTTTAAACCCTTATTTGTAAATCATTCGTGATCTAATTAATAATAATCACATATTTTTATTATATTAGTCTTTTAGAAAAAGAGAAATTAGCCTTCTATTTTTGTAGAAATTATACTTGTTATGTGATGAAATCATATGAGTATGATTGTCAAATTAGGTTTTTTTTTTTTTTGATGTTCCCACAAAAGTTCAAGAATAGACGAATTAAATTATCAAAATTAGTCCACGTGACCTAATATTTTCTCCCCCTAAAGGAAAAAATTAAGACTAAAATGAATTGGCTTTTCCTATAAGATTCACAACTTCCTTAGAACTCTCCCCTAAAGGAAAAAATTAAGACTAAAATGAATTGGCTTTTCCTATAAGATTCACAACTTCCTTAGAACTCTTGTTGCTAAATGTGGATAAGCATAATTATTTTCCTTTCCTTTTCTTTTTTTCTTTGTGAGGATAGGCATTATTTGAAGAAGTTTTTTTAAGTCATGCCGTTGACAATTTTAGTTGCCACAACGTAAATTATGATTTTCCATTATATACTCTTTGTGTTAATATATTTTTGTTTTATTTCTTGTAAAATTTCCATTCATATTCCTAGGTTTTAAATTTGGAGTTGACATGCAAACAATATCTTTGTAACAATGCCCTTTATATTTATCCCAAATCTATGACTAGCTTAATATGTTTTTGCTTTATTCCATGTGAAATTTCCATTTATATTCCTTAGTTTTAAATTTAGAGTTGACATAAAAAATAAATATATCTCTATAACCACACCTTTTCGTTTATCTCAAATTTATGACTAGCTTTGTAGGTGTCAAGTTCAAATCCCATAGTTACGAGTGATTTGAGAATCAAGTAAAAAATCATATTTTGCAGCTTTCTAAAAAAGCCAAAAGTTGACTTTTTCGGCATCAAAATCATTTGGAAAGATAGCTAAAAGTTACTTGTAAAATTACAATTATACCCTCCATGTTTACATTTGTGGACTAGGGCAAAATCCTTCGCGTGAGGGTATTTTAGTCATTTGAATGTGATGTGAAAACAAATATTAACAAAAAAAAGTTAAAAAGTAATTTTTTACCGACTTCCCTAATGATTTTTTAAAAAAACCAAAAAAATTGAATAAGAGTCAAAAGTTAACTTTTAACTATCTTTCCAAAACACCTCTCAATCAAAAAAATATTTCTATGACTTTGTAAGGTACTTCAAACAAAGTTAATAATAAGTGATTGTTTGGGATGTGCTATATAAGTGCACTTTTTGATTTTTTGGTTAAAAAAGTAGAGAAAAAAAATGTATGTTTGGAATAACTTTTTGACTTTTTACGAAAAGATGTGTAATAAAATATTGTAGTAAAATCAAAATGACCATTTCACCCTTTTAACTTTTTAACTTTTAACTTTTTGATTTTTTGGATAGTTGAACTCAAAGGGCAAAATTGTCCTGCAAGCTACCTTTGAATAGTATAAGATTTTTACCTTTTTTAGTAATTTTTTTGACTTTTTATCTTTATTAGTTTATCCCAAACAACCCCTATTGAAATTTTTTTATTTATTTAATATATCAAATTTTGGATGCATTTAACACTATGACTTTTATTATTATTATTATTATTTTACAGTAACTCCAAACCAATAAAAACACTCAAACGTAGTACCTTTATTGGTTTGGATATATAGTTAAAATTAATTTCAATTAAAATGAGATATATATATATATATTTTTCTAAAGAGAAATCCAATTTTCAATTGAACTTCCAAATTTGTGGTTCTCCCCCCCCTCCCAAAATTCTATTCCATTCCTCATTTTTCTTCCTTCCTTTATTGTTGTTTGTTCCAAAACTACCCACCCCCACCTAAATTCTATTCCATTCTCATTTTTCTTCCTTCCTTTATTGTTGTTTGTTCCAAAACTAACGTAATACCAGTACTATACATGGTTTTAAATAAATAATTGACAATTACTTTTAAAATTAAACAGTAAAAAAATAGAATTAATTAAATTTTAATTATTTTTATCACAATTTCACTTATGGTTCTTTTTCTTACCATTAATGCTATATTTTAAGTTCTAAATAACAAATATATGAATCATAATGTATAGTAAAATTAAATAAAAATATGGTAAAATAAAAAGGAAAAATTATTTATAAGTCCTATTAGGAAGACTTACGCGACATATGGTCCTACTAAAAAATTTATGTTTTCATAAGTCCTGTGGGAAGTTTGTTGACACATTTACCTAGTTGTTAGTATCATAAATAATAGTAAAACCATATATAAGAAATTGAATGTTACCATAAATCATATCTATATAAACGTAACGTAACGTGACACCTGCATAAACGTAACGTGACACCTATACGTAACGTGACACCTATGATCTATGGTAACATGCAATTTCCTATATTACCATAGATCATATCTACATAAACGTAACGTAACGTGACACCTATGATCTATGGCAATATTCAATTTCCTATATAGAAAATTGAATGTTACTATAGATCATATCTACATAAACGTAACGTAACGTGACACCTACATAAACGTTACGTTTCATATAAATATGATCTATGACAATATTCAATTAATGTTGCCATAGATCATATTTATATGAAACGTAACGTGATACTAACATAACCAACAACATTTTCACATTCAATTTTAAAAAATAAAAGCTCATTAAGTTTGCGAAACGTAACGTCATACGTTACGTTACGTTTATGTAAGTGTCACGTCACGTTACGTTTATATAGGTGTCACGTTACGTTGCGTTTATGTAGATGTCACGTCACGTTGTGTTTCGCTTATGTAGGATTTTGTGGAATACATTCCTATCTAAATAGGACTTGAGACTCTATAAGAAATTACACAGGACTTAGCCTACCATAAGTGGCTGAAAAATGACTTATAAATAAGCCTCCCAAATAAAAAATTGCACTTTTTATTTTTATTTTTAGGAACAAAAACTACACATATGATAAAATATAAGGATCCAACTCTTCAATGACTAGAGGGAGCTGTTTGGCGCTGGTGGGCCTTGATTTGGGCCCATATCGATAATCTAAATCGTTTCATGTGTAGAACCAATCAAGTACATTATTTTTATAAAAAATCATGTTGATCAGATATCGATAACTATTTGATCAGATCACATTTTTGTCACAATGGTTATCGATATTCAATCAATATGATTTTTTACAAGAATGATGTATTAATGTGTTCTATATATCGAACGGTTTAAATCATCGGCATGGACCCAAATCAGGGCCCACCAGCGCCAAATAGCCCC